TGGGGTGACGAGCCCCCAGGGCCTCAGAGTGTGGGGTGGGGACCCCCCGGGGCCTCAGTGTGGGGTGAGGAGCCCCCTGGGGCCTCAGAGTGTGGGGTGGGGACCCCCCAGGCTTCAGAGTGGGCCTCAGAGTATGGGGTGGGGACCCCGTGGGCCTCAGTGTGGGGTGGGGATCCCTCCGGGCACTGCTGCTCCATGACCGCCCTGCCCCTTCTCTCCACAGGTACCGGACCACCAAGGACATCATCCTTCCCTTCCGGGTGATCCCCCTGGTACGGGAGGTGGGACGGACCAAACTGGAGGTCAAAGTTGTCATCAAGTCCAACTTCAAACCTTCCTTGCTGGCCCAGAAAATTGAGGTGCGGGGAGGGGGCTGGCAAGGAGTGCGGGAGGAGGGAGCACTTGTACCAACTTGGGGCTGTCAGTGATGGGGTCATGAATTTTAGGTCCGGATCCCAACACCGCTGAATACAAGTGGGGTTCAAGTGATCTGCATGAAGGGAAAAGCCAAGTACAAGGCCAGTGAAAATGCCATCGTGTGGAAGTGAGTGGGGTGGGGGGGACCTCGGGGGCTGATACACATAGGCCCCTTCGCACTCCCCTCGTACCCCAGCATGAGAGGGCCTCCCTCTGTTCCCCTTGCTTTATTGGCTGGTCTCATCCCAATGGTGCCTTAAAGTTCTAGCTTGTATAATTACCAAACATTTGGGCATTCATCTGCAGACATCTCTGCCAGGTAAACAGGGCGGGTGACATGATGCCTCTTTGACAGATAAGGCAATTGGGGCCCAAAGAGATCCAAGTGTGGAGACCCCCAAAGGCTTGGCCCCCAGTTTGGAGCCATCCTTCCAGCCCTCCTTGTCTCCCCTGCTGGTCAGTTCACCTTCCCTCTGGCCCTGAGGCCCCTCCAGTGTGTAGGGTGAAAGCAGCCGCTTCTGCCTCTCTGCCCTCAGGATCAAGCGCATGGCGGGAATGAAGGAATCACAGATCAGTGCAGAGATTGAGCTGCTTCCGACCAACGACAAGAAGAAGTGGGCCCGGCCTCCCATCTCCATGAACTTTGAGGTGAGAGCCTTAGGAAGCCGCTGGGTCTGGCGTGGAGGTGAGGAACCTGTGGCCTGGAGGCCACATGTGGCCCTCTAGGTCCTCCAGTGCAGCCCGTAGACTGAATCTAAACCTCACAGAACAAACCCCCTTCATAAAAGGCTTTCTTCTGTAAGACTTGGACCCAGCCAAAAGGCCATGCCCAGGACCTAGAAGGCCACAGAAGGCCTAGAAGGATCACAGGTGGCTGATCTCAAGACGCCTCCTCGTTCAGCCCAACTTTGAGAGGGGAGGAAATGGAGGCCCAGCTAAAGCCAGTTTTAGGCAGAACCAGGACAAGACAGGGACAAGACAGGACCCAGAAGTCCAGATTCTTTAATGCTAGTGCTTCACAAAGTAATACATTGGTAGAGCCCACACATGGTAATCTGGGGCAGGGGTTTAGAATACTCCAAGAATATGCAGAGGGTAGGAGAAACTGGGGAACAAAACAAAAAATTTAAGCCTAATTTTCATACTGAAAAAATTATCCCACATAATGAAGATTTTTGATACATCACTTGGTCTTAATATCTTGGAAAGACATGCACTCCCTCCACTGGAGTTGTGTGCCCAGGCAGCCCTGAGCTGCAGCCCCTCTGGCCAGCTGTTTCAAACTCACATGGCCAGTTGTCACTCTGGTTGGGATTTTCCTGACTTCTCTCTGCTCATGAACTTGGGAAAAGTATAATTTAGGTCATCCTTGAACTGGGCAGCTAGGCTCTGTGGAAAAAAGCAGCGGGTGAGAAAATACCTTTTGTCTTAGTGCCTGAAATCCTTGCAAAGCCCACCCTGCACTTCTCAACAAACATTTATTAAGATGGTGCTGAGGTCCCATCCAGCTCCCAATCTGCATCCCTCTTCTCACTGCTTGCACGAAAGCATGGATACACATGTACCCCTAGTCCGTGATCTCAAAGAATCTACATTCTGCTGGAGGAGTAGGGGAGAAGACCGAGCATGTGCACAGATTGGTAGAATCAGAGGGTGGGAGGGCTAACAAATGGAAACATCTTGAAAGGTCTCCAGGAGGAGGTGGCCCTGGGGCTGAGCCTTGAAGGGAGAGCAATGCAGGCCTCAGGCAGTGGGGCTCCTATGTAGGGAGGAAGAGCTGCCCATCTTTCTCTGGGGAGTGCTGGGCTGGAGAGAGAGGTACCCTGACCTTCTCCTTGCTCTCCAGGTACCGTTTGCACCCTCCGGCCTGAAGGTGCGATACCTAAAGGTGTTTGAACCCAAGCTGAACTACAGCGACCATGACGTCATCAAATGGGTGCGCTACATTGGCCGCAGTGGCATCTACGAAACCCGCTGCTAGCTGCCCAGCCATGGTCTCACGAAATCTCCACCAACCTGGGTGCCCCCTGGGGAGGAGCCAGGCTGGGCGGTCTGCCCCAACTCCTCCCTGTTGGTGTCTCCTCTTTCCTGCATCGCTGCACACCCCCTGCACAAGCCCCTAGACTAGGTCTGGACCGGCCCTACCATGAAGGGGATGAACAGAGTGGCCCCTGGGGCCCCTGAGGTCCCCCAACCCTCATTTTGTCCGTCCCAGCCCAGCTCTGGGCTCTGTTTTGAGTTTTGTGACCAAAGCCAGGCCAGGGTCTCTTGGGGGGCCGTGTCTCCGACCCTCTCCCAGGGGTGGGGGGGTGGGGCCCGGGCTGCCAGAGCCCCTGGCCTCTGCACCTCCCTGAAAGGCCAGTAACTGCCTCCCGCCCCCTCCTTCCCCCCTCAGCCCCCTGCTTCGGGATAGTGTGAGCTCCATTTTGTACACGTGTGACTTGTCCAGTTATCAACCCAATAAATTCTGTAGAGCGGAGGCCCCGAGCCCATTGTCTGGGAACTGGGGAGAAAGTTGGCCCAGGCCTCTCGGGAAGGTTCACAGAGAAGCGTCTTGTAAAGAGTCCTACGAACGTTTTCTGTGGCCTAGACCTGAAGATGCCCTGACTTAGCCCCGTCTGTCCCACGTGACAGATACCTGGCCCCGGGCCCAGAGGGCAAAGGCCAGAACTGTGTCTAACGAGACTGGCCTCATGCCTCGAGTATGGGGCGGAGAAGACCAGAGGGCGCCCTTTCCCCGATGGCCCGGGGTGCGGGGCGGCGCTGGCCACGTGGGCTTGTGCCTTGCCTGCCCTGGAGGAGGGATCCTGGCCAGGGAGGCTACTGGCTACAGGAGGGCATGGGACCATCACAAATCAGGGGGTTGAAATGGGATCCGGAGGCCGGGCGGGGGGCCCCGGAAGGGTGTCCAATTCATGCCCCTCCCTGGGGCAGCCGGTGTAGCCCTCCCTGCAGGGCTTGGGGGCAGGGGGCAGAGAGGAAGGGGGGCCGTGGCCTGGAGAAGAGAGAGAGGGCAGCCCCGGGGGCTTTGTATTTTTAGCTCCAGTTTGAACTCCGCGTCCAAGCGCCCTTCCAGACCCCCTTCTCCGCGGCGGGTCCGGTTCTAGTGCCGACCCAGGTCTTCCCCCTCCCCTACTACTTAGTACCCCTCTTAGCCAGTACCCTGCATCTCTCCCTCTCGGCTCCTCCGTGGGAGTAGCTCCTGCCCCTTTAAGGAGTCCCTCCCTCCCTGCCTGCCTGCCCTTTGGCCACCTGCTGGGCCAGTGTTACCCGCCCCCCCCGGACTACAAATCCCAGGAGGTGTCTACGTGGTTCACGTGGTTCACCTGCCAGGCTAAGGGAGGCAAGGCTGCGCGGAGGATACTGGGACGGGGGGAGGGTTGCCCTCAGCTGATTTCATCCCGCCCCTTAACCCCAGCTGTGGGGGGGGGTCTTCCCTCTTCTACGCTTCCTTACGCCACGCCGGCGCCTGCGCGTTAGGACTAGGAAAGGGCGAAGGTGGAGGGGGCCAAGAGCACACAGAGCGCCTGTGCGTGGGAAAGGGCGAGGTCGTCAGCTGAGTTCAGTGAAGCGGGGGCGGGGCCGTGGCCTGCCCGCGGGGATCTTGCCTCGGCGCCTGCGAGTGACGTTCGGGGAGGGACGTCGAAGAGCCGGAAGGGGCGTGGCATAGTGCTAAGACTTCGTGTCAGTGACCGCACGGCGCCTGCGCGCGTGTTCTGCGATCCGCGAGTGGCGTTGAAAAATCGGAAGAGGTGGGACGGAAACTACATGTTGGTGTCCGCACAGCGCCTGCGCATAAGCATCCGCGCTAGGCTGGGAAGAGTCGACGGGGCGCGTCCTGTGGGTCGGCGTCCATTCTGGGCCCGCACGGCGCCTGCGCACAAGCGGCGCTGAAGTGGGGGCGGGGCGGGGTGTGTCGGTGGCTGCGCGTCGGCGTCCTCAAGGCGCCTGCGCAGAGCGAGGCCCGGCTGGAACATGGCGACGTGCGCCGATATCCTGAGGAGCGAGTTCCCCGAAATCGATGGACAGGTGTTTGACTACGTGACAGGTGAGCGGGGCCCGGGCGGGGAGTGTGCGAGGGGCTGGAGGGGGCGCCCGGCCCGGCCCGGCCCGCCTGAACCCCGGGCCCCTCCGTCCGCAGGCGTCCTGCACAGCGGCAGCGCCGACTTCGAGTCCGTGGACGACCTGGTGGAGGCCGTGGGGGAGCTGCTGCAGGAGGTGTCCGGGGACAGCAAGGATGGCGCGGGCATCCGGGCCGTGTGCCAGCGCATGTTCAACACGCTTCGCCTGTGCGTACCGGGAGCGGGGAGGGAGACTGAGGCACGGGGGGAGGGGGCCGGGGCACCGGGAGGGGGAGAGACTGAGGCACGGGGCGGGGGGGGGGGGAGAGCGGGCCCCTTGTAGGGGAGGGAGGGGAAGAACAGGTTAGGGACACCCCCCCTCCTGTTACACAGCAGGAGGAGGACGCTCGAGGCTTCTTTCCCTTCTCACAAGGGGGGGAGAGGGGCTCGGAGACATCCCATTCTGTTATACGGGGAAATGGGGGAACCAGACACCCACCCTTCCTCTCATACGGCCTGAGCGAAAGGGACCTGGAGATCCCCCTTCGTCCCCATTGCGATATAGGAGGCAGACAACGTTTGGTAGGGGGACCAGAGACTCACTTCTGTACAGTAGAGAAGACAATCAGCTCCAGGAGGGGGAGAGATGCTGGACATTAGAGACCACCCCTCCCCTCCCGGGAAGGGGAGATTGACATGCACGAGATCAGAGATTTAGAACAGGGAGGTCATTTGGCTCATCTTTACAGATGAGGCAGCCGAATTCCAAGGAGGGAGCCGTAGCTTAGAGATCCTTTAGTCTTTGATCGCTCCCACTCCACATTGTACAGCTCAGGGAACGGAGGAAATGGAGCTCGAGGGAAGGTAGTGACTGAGGTCTGAAGATTTAGAGGGAAGGAGCTTGACAAGCTAGTCTGTGGATAACTTCACTCTCCATTTGACTGAACCCCAGGGAGGAGAAAAGACATAGAAAGTCAGAGGCAGAGAGCGTAGAGAACATTGGGTCCATGTGTACTTCAGCCACCCCGTTATGTGGCGAAAGAAGTTGAGGTCCAGAGAGTGGGGAGGTGACGTCTGTCTTTTTCCTATATACCTAGCTATGTGCCTGGCACATAGGAGCTTCATAAATGTTTATTGGATTTAAGGCTGGGAGGGAAATTGGACGCCATCCAAGCTAGCTTGACCTCAGTCTACTCTTGAAGAAGTTCAGACCTAGAGGTGTGACTTGGGAACTGAAGGGGAGCCCTGAGATCATCTCGTTTTCATTCCCCCTCCTCCCCTTTCACAGGCCCAGAGAGGAGAAGCAACATTTAGATCATGGGGTTTAGCACCAGCAAGGAACTGGTCAGCCATCTAGTCCAATTCCCTCATTTCACATGTGGGTAAATCGAGGCTCAGAAGTTCAGGAGATTAGTTCATAGCCATACAGGTAGTAAAAAGTGGCAAAAGTGGGATGTGGGCCCAGGTTCTTTGCCTCCAAATCTGTGGCCTTATCTCTGACTCTTGAGGTGACCCCTTTTCCTTCAAGTACCTGCTTTAGGAAACCCCCCCCCCCAAAAGAGCACTTGAAATCTTGCCTATGCCCAGATAGAACCTTCTCCTATATCCCCTTTTGTTTTTAATTAATTTATTTTGATTTATCAACAATCACTTCCATAAGCTTTTGAGTTTTAAATTTTTCTCCCTCTTGTTCCCCAAGATGGTGCACCATCTGATATGGGCTATACATGCACATTCCTATTAAATATATTTTCACCTTAGTGACGTTGTAAGTAAGAATTAGAACCAGTAGGAGGAACCACCAGAAAGAGGAAACAAAACACAACAGAAGAAAAAAATACCGAATAGTATGCTTCAGTCTGCATTCAAACTCCAAAGTTCTTTCTTTGGATATGGATAGCGTTTTCCATCATGAGGCCTTTGGAGATGTCTTAGGTCTTTGTATTGCTGAGAAGGGTTAAGTCTATTAGTGCCTAATTGATTGTGTTATTCCTTTCTTTAGCCAAATCTGATGAGAGTAAGGTTCAAACTATGTTCATCTCCCTCCCTTCTTTCCCTCTGCTGTAATAGGTTTTTAGGTTTTTGTGCATTTTCCTGTAATGTAATTTACCCTTGTCTGCCTCCTTCTTTCCTTTTCTCTCAGTACATTTTCTTAAATCAGATTAATCCGCTTACTTGGATACATTTAATCCACTTGATTAGATTTTTTTTTATCATTACATCGAAGTCAACTTATACCCACTCCTCTTATGTATACTCATGTAACGTGGTATAATAATAATATGGTTCTCAAAGGTTATAAGTGTCCTCTTTCTTTGTAGGGATGTAAACGGTTTGCCCTCATTAATAACATGTTTCTTTCTGTCCCTTTTACCTTTTTATGTCTCTCTTGAGTCTTGTATTTGAAGATCAAATTTTCTGTTGAACTCTGGTCTTTTTATCAGGAAGGTTTGGAAATCCCCTATTTTGTTGAATATCCATGTCCTCCCCTGAAAGATCATGCTCATTTTCTCTGGGTATACACCCCCTTTTCTGTTGGAGTCTAAGCTACTTGCAGGTAATTTCTTGTTTCTTCATCTTTACAATCCTAGTGCATCGTGCCTGACAGCTTCTTAATAAATCTTAGAAGCTGTTCATAGGCCACAAAGGCCTTAGAAAGCACACTCCTTCATCAGAGCCAGTCAAACAACCGCGCCATGGCTGTTGGGTATCGGGGCAAGGTCCAACAGCATTGGCCATCTGGTGCCAATTACACGACATCTCTTTCCTTCTCCACAGGGCAGAACCACAGAGCCAAGGACATAGCCAGGTGTTACTGGATGCCCCCATCCAGTTGTCTAAGATGACTGAAAGTTATGGTGAGTTCAGAGAGTGCCTTGAACTCAGCTCTTTCCTTCCTCAGACCCTTAGTCAATCCTGTTCATTGTTCATATTCTTTGCCAGTCTAAAAACCTTACCGGTTTTTGGGGAGCTAGCTGTCTGCCTGCTCCTAGTCTGTTCTGTGGGCCACGATCATTTCTGCTCTCACCGGTGCTCTTTTGTCTCTAGTTCTGCTCTCCTATTTTCTCTCATTGCCTCCCTCTGGTGTATCCTTCCTCTCTCCCTTCCTTGAAGGTAATTGATATTTCCTGGGGGCTGGAGTGGAGCCAGGATAGGTTAGAGTTGGCAAACATGGTAGTTAGACACTTTTTTAAGAGTGAAGTCTTATTTCTTTTCTGCCTTATTTCTAGATTATGGCGATAAGGTTCCAGGACTGATAAAGAGGGACCAGTCTTCGGTGAGCAGGGCAGAGAGTGGCGGAGGATAATTTTTGTCCCTTCAGGGGTGTGGGGATGACCTCTATCCCCCAAAGTAGCACTTGGGAGCCTCCCTTGGCCCCACTGTGTGTTGCTCATACTGGTGTGAGGCTTGACCTGAAGGGTGCCCTGGGTTCCCTTGCTCCGGTGGGCACCTGAAGGCGTGACCAAGTTTCTGTCTCTTGGCCACAGACAGTGAACGCTAAGAAGCTGGAGAAGGCCGAAGCCCGGCTCAAGGCCAAGCAGGAGAAGCGAACCGAGAAGGACACTCTCAGGACAGCCGGTCCTCCGTAAGCCCGGGGACAGCGGCGGGCTGGCCGAGGGGGTGAGGCAGCCAGGGTCACTGGGAGTGACTTCTGTTCCCCCCTCACAGAGTCTTGGAAGAGGCTTCGGCCAGCCAGGCAGGGAGCAAGAAGGAGAGCCGGCTGGAGTCGTCGGGCAAGAACAAATCCTATGACGTGCGGATCGAGAACTTTGATGTCTCTTTTGGCGAGCGGTGAGGGGCTCGTGCTGGACGGCCGGGACCGGGGGGCAAATGCCGGGCACTCTCTGCAGGCTCGGCCCGTTTTCCCCTTCCTCCTGGTCCTTGAGGATCCTCGTTTCCTCTCCTCCACCAGGGTTCTGTTGACGGGCGCAGATGTGAACCTAGCGTGGGGCCGTCGCTACGGACTAGTTGGACGGAATGGGCTGGGCAAGACGACGTTACTGAAGATGTTGGCGACGCGCAGTCTCCGGATCCCGGCCCACATCTCCCTCCTCCATGTGGAGCAGGAGGTGGCAGGGGATGATACCATGGCCCTGCAGAGTGTGCTGGAGAGTGACACCTTCCGAGAAGGGCTGCTGCAGCGAGAGCGCCAGCTCAGCGCCCAGATCGCGGCAGGCCGGTGAGCATGTGCGGCGGCCCCCAGCAGAGGCAGAGTCTCCCCAGTCTCAACCCCCCCCCCCCAGCCCCAGAGGCAACAAGCTGCCCAGCAGGCCGCCCGATGGCATGTGGAGGAGGGGCCCCCGGGGTCCATTTGCTCCCGACTAATTGCGTCTTCCCCCAGAGCGGAGGGCCCAGAGGCTGCACAGCTTGCTGAGATCTATGCCAAGCTCGAGGAGATTGAGGCTGACAAAGCCCCTGCCAGGTACTCTGACCCCCCTCGCTGTGCCTTTGCTCCTGTTTCCCCATCTCCCTGTGCCTCCTCTTTCAGGGGCCTTCTTTCTCCCTCTGTCCAGGGCATCTGTTATCCTTGCTGGACTTGGTTTCAATGTAAAGATGCAGCAGCAGCCCACGCGGTGAGTGTCCCCACCCCGCCAGCCCTCGTGGCCCCTCTTCCTGCTGGCTCTGCCTGTTGAGCGTGGCCCACACCGCCCTTGAGTCTGGGTGTCTCTCTCTCTCTGCAGGGAGTTCTCTGGTGGCTGGAGGATGCGACTGGCCCTGGCTAGGGCCCTCTTTGCCCGGTGAGTCCACAGGGCCCGTGAGGGGGAACGGGAAGGAAATGGGGCAGCTGAGAGACTGTGTCATGGTGTCCCTCCTCTTTTCTTTAGGCCAGATCTACTGCTGTTGGATGGTGAGTCCTTGGGGAGCCTTGGCATGAGAGAGGCAGGAGTGGCCCTGAGATTCTGATGGCTCAGACGGGGGTGGGGGGAGAGGGGGCAGCCATGTGCCACGGGCTCTGCCTTCAACCACACCGCTTCTTTCTTCGTCCTCTCAGAGCCCACCAACATGCTGGACGTGCGCGCTATCTTGTGGCTGGAGAATTACCTGCAGGTGGGTGGGGCTGGGGGGGATGGGTGAGGAGAAGGGGGGGGTTTCTGGTCTCATGCTTCTGGCGACGCCCCTCCCCCCAACTCGTGCCCGCCTTCCACGTGACCCCTCAGACTTGGCCCTCAACGATCTTGGTTGTTTCCCACGACCGAAACTTCTTGAACGCGGTGGCCACAGATATTATCCACCTGCATAGCCAGCGGCTGGACAGCTACCGTGGGGACTTTGAAACCTTCATCAAGAGCAAACAAGAGCGGCTGAAGAGCCAGCAGCGCGAGTATGAGGCCCAGCAGCAGTACCGCCAGCACATCCAGGTGCGGGGGTGCGCACTCAGTGGCGTCCGGGACCCAGGAGGCCGTGGCGGCGGGAGCCTCACCCCTCTTGTTCTCCCCCCCGCCAGGTGTTCATTGACCGCTTTCGCTATAACGCCAACAGAGCATCCCAGGTGCAGAGTAAACTCAAATTGCTGGAGAAGCTGTGAGTAGTCTGGATCCCCTGCTGAGCCCCGGGCCCACGTCCTGTGTCCTCTTGCTTGGACCCCGGCTCTTCCTGCCCCCACTGAGCTGCCCCCTCTCTCTTCCTCAGGCCAGAGCTGAAGCCTGTGGACAAGGAGGTGGAGGTGGTGATAAAGTAAGTGCCTCGTTCACGGTGCCTGGGTCTGCGGGAGAAGTCGGTGGGGGCCTCATCACCTCACCTCACCTCTGCTCTGACAGGTTTCCTGATGGGTTTGAAAAGTTCTCACCCCCAGTTCTGCAGCTCGATGAAGTGGACTTCCACTATGACGCTCAGCACCCCGTTTTCAGTCGTCTTTCCGTCTCGGCAGACCTCGAGTCTCGGATCTGTGTGGTATGAGCGTCGCTGCCGCCGCCGCCCCCATTTCTGGCCTGGGCCCCGCCATCGTCCCCCGTCTCCTCCTCCCCCCTCCGGCCACAGGCCCGCAGCCTCTGCTGACCCAGGAAGCTGAGGCCTCCTCGTGAGAATCGTGAAGGAGGGTGCTAGGCCTCGGGCCCCGTCCCCCACTGAGGGTTGTGTCTCGTAGGTGGGGGAGAATGGAGCAGGGAAGTCGACCATGCTGAAGCTGTTGATGGGAGACCTGGCACCCGTGCGGGGGATCAGACATGCCCACAGGTAGCTACCCCCCCCCGACTCCTCTGTGCCCATCGCAGGGGAAGGGCGGCATGCCCACCGTCCTCACTCCCCCCTCACTGCTCCCCTGTAGAAACCTGAAGATTGGCTACTTCAGCCAGCACCACGTGGAGCAGCTTGACCTGAATGTCAGCGCTGTGGAGCTACTGGCTCGCAAGTTCCCTGGTGTGTGTGGGGGGCGGAGGGGGAGGAAGGGTGGAGGAGGGGGAGGAGGAGGGGGAGGGGGAAGAGGAGGGGGAAGAGGAAGGGTGGAAGCAGGTGTGGTGGATGCCTGAGAGAGGCCGAGCCCGGCCAGGGATCTGCATGATGTGACGGGCAGGGACGTGTTCTAGGGCGGCCCGAGGAGGAATATCGCCACCAGTTGGGACGCTATGGCATCTCTGGGGAGCTGGCTGTCCGCCCTGTTGCTAGCCTGTCCGGAGGGCAGAAAAGCCGAGTGGCCTTTGCCCAGATGACCATGCCCTGGTGAGACAGCATTGCTGCTGCAGACTCCTTTCTGAGCCTCCCCCTGTCTGTCCCTGGAACGGGAGGCTTTCCAGACGTCCCCTCCTTTATGCCTCCCCTGCCTGGGATGAGGGCGGTCTCCCAGGGTGGGAGGAACCTCTTGGGATTCTGTCTTGCAGCCCCAACTTCTACATCCTGGACGAGCCAACCAACCACCTGGACATGGAAACCATCGAAGCCTTAGGCCGGGCCCTCAACAGTTTCAGGGTGAGGCCCAGTGCCCCGCCCAGCGGCTTACCCCTTTGGATGCCTTTCCTCTCTCCGAGCTGCCGCTGACCCTGCTGACGTTTTCTCGTTTTCTGCAGGGCGGGGTGATCCTTGTCTCCCACAACGAGCGCTTCATCCGCCTGGTCTGCCAGGAGCTGTGGGTGTGTGAAGGCGGTGGCGTCACCCGGATCGAAGGGGGCTTTGACCAGTATCGGGACCTTCTCCAGGAGCAGTTCCGGCGTGAGGGTTTCCTCTAAGACCTTCCTGCCGGAAGGCCTGATCTGGGGCACAGACTGGCACCCGCAGGCTCCCCGGGCAGCAGACTCACTTCTTAGGCCTGGGCCACGGACTTCCCCCAAACATGGGGACAGCCTTATTCCAACTTCTCTTCTCCATCCCTTGCCCCAGACCAGAGTTCCCCTTCTCCATCCTGGGGGGCTCCGTGGAAGGGGCTCTGAGGCTTGTTCTCCATGGGGTGGAGAAGACTCCTGGGGCTCCAGCCCTCTCCCCTCTCTCTGCCTAGGTCCAGCGGGGCCATCATGTAAATTAAACCTGCCCCCCGTCTGTCCCCCCAGACTTGTCTCTGCCCCCTAAGGTGGACTCCTATGTCTCTTGCCTTGAGAGGGAGCTGAGGCCCTGTGTAATGTCTGCTCTTGGGCTCTGGATTTTCCCAATGCCTTTGGCACAGATTAGGGCAACAGCAGCCGATGGATCCCAGCCCGTGCAGAGATTTCTGGAAGCAAAGTCACCATAGGAGACTGTGGCCTCAGTGAGCCCGGGCCCGGCAGCCACCGAGGCCTTGGCTGAGATAGAAGGCATGGGCGAGGCCTCCCGTCTTGGCCAGGACCCTCAGCTAGTGCTCTGGTCCCTGCCCACTGCCCGTCCGTTCAGCCACTCCCATTCCACCCGCACACTTTGAAGACCTGGGCCGGGGCCTCAGGTGCGGCCTCCCTGGGCTCTCCTTGGGTGGCTAGTTCTACCTCCGCACCTGCCTTCACCAAAGGGGAGGGTGGACTGCTTGGGCCACCTTCACCTTGAGTCGACAGTTAATCAGCCCTGGTGCTGTGGAAGCTTAGAAACCAGAGGAGGCCCCTGGGGACTCCCTGAGCTGAGCTGCCGCTGAAGGGGGCGGGGGGAGTGGTCGCTTTAGGAAACTCAGAGTCAATGAAGGCATCTGACCCAGTGTTTCTCCAGCCTGGGGAACTCTGGCCTGCCCCCCCCCCCCCCCCCCCCCCCCCACGGGCCCCAGCGCCATGCCAGGCCTCCTTTTGTCCCCATCTCCCTCAGGAGGAATTGGAATCCTTTGTAGAATTGGGCTTCCGTGCACCTCTCGTAGTCCTCTTTACCTGCTGCGCGAGCCCTTCCCGAGCCTGCCACATGATTGGGTGACCTTTGGGCCTCCCCTCACCCGTGTGGCTTCAGAGCAGGTTGAACTCCTGGGCTCTGGTGGGGACCTGATGCACCGTGGGCATCTGCCTTTTGTCAAGGAGCTCTATGGAAGGTGTCTTGCTAGTGGTTAATTATGGTCCACAAACCTGGTGACTGGCATGGCCACTTTAGGGATTGGGCCTCAGAGAGCCAGGGGTAGTTAATCTCCGTTTTCATTCAACAAACCTGCCCTGCACAGGGTCAGGTCGGACAGATGCCTGCCTGCTTGCCTTGAGTAGATGCCACAGAACGTGCAGATAGAGTATGAGCAATGCTGACCACTTGGTGTATGTGAGCTCTGGGCAAATGAAAAGGCAACAATGTAGCAGTCATTACTCAAGGAATTTATTTTGGAGACAGTACATATAAAAAGGTGTGCAATAGATACAAAGTAATTTGGGGAGGACGCACAGGTGGGGAGAAATCAGGACGGGCTTCCTACAGGGGTGTGAGTGGCATATCCAAGTAAGGAAGGCAGAGATGAGAGAGGGGGATGGCCTGTGGAGGATAAAGGGCTGGAGTGGTGTCTGAGAAGCAGCCAGGCCAGTCTGGCTGGATCACAGGACAGGAAGGAAGCCATTTGTTTAACACCATTGAAGCCCTGTTACGAAGGGCTTGAAAGCCTGGCAGAATTGAGAGTTGGTCCTAAATACAACGGAATCGGAGCTTATGTAGCTAGGGCAATAGCAACTGTCAGCTCCTTGTTTCAAGGTAGGTGCATCTGGTCGTGCTGCCTAGTTTGAATTGGAGGTAGGGAGAACATCTAGTTTCCTTCAGTGATGTCAGAGGTAAGGAAGATCCAGAATCATTACTGGCCTGTTCTTATTTTAATTCACCAAAAGCAATCTCTGTTCTGAAGTTTTCTCAGATCAGCTTTTGTGGTCTGGGGATTCCTAAGACCTTGCCAGGGAATTGGCGCAGTCAAAACTTTCCATACTTCTAGGATGTTTTGCTGTCTAATTTGGTAAACTTCAATACACACAAGCTGAATAAAAGCTTTGGGGGATCCTCGCTTTTTAAGAGGGTCCTGAAACCAAGTTTGAGAACCTCTGCCTCAAAGCGTTGAGATTTCTCCTTTACCTTGGTCACACTCTACCTTGTGTCATAAACCTGAGCTCCCAGGGACAGCACTTGGGAAGGCAGAAATCCATACGATTTTTCTGTTGGCACCCAAGAGTGAGTTAATTAAATGGTGGTATGAAGGGTAAAGGAAAGACAAGTTAGACTTTGAAGGGAGAGATTGTAACAATAGTTAACGTTTATGTAGCACTTAACTACGTGCCAGGCACTTTCTGGGTGCATGATCTAATTTGTTTCTCATGACAGTCTCCCACTTGGGAAATAGGGAAGCGGGTTTAGAAAGAAAGATAAATTAATTTTGGCCATGTTGAGCTTTTGTGCTCAGTAGTAATGATAGTGTTCTTCGTGCTGCAAAGGATTTGAGCAAAAATGGCCAATAGGAGACAAATCCAAGATGGGTAAAGTGAGATATCAAGGGCACCTCAATTCCTTCATGTGAGTTGTCAGAAGGCTCAGGTGAACTATTTTCTTGTGTGGTTGTGCTGCCATCTCAATGGATACACCCTTCCATGTATCCTGTGTCAGAGTCATGAAGATCTGGGTTCAGGCCCTGCCTCTTCCACATATTGGATTGTGACTGGAAAAGTCCCTTAACCTCTCCCAGGACCCCTAGATAACTAAGTTGAGAGCCAAGGTGATTAACAATGAAATAGGTCGTGAAGGAGGGATTGGTTTGGGGTGGTGAGACATTAACAAAGGAAACAAACGCACTTTGTTTATGTAATCTATGGCTCTGTTTTCACATAGACCAGATCCAACCTTAACGGGCTGGCGGCTGACATCTTAAAAGGTTATATTCTCTTGGGCACGTTATTTTACTCTCTGAACTCCAAATGTGATTGTGTCTGTTTTGACAAACATGGGTGATCAGGTCACCAACTCCCATATAAAACATTCAAAGAAACATACATATTGGGAAGAGGGCAGCCTGTTTCCTGTCATAAAAAATTCATGCAGTACAAAGGACTTGTAGGAATCCATACATAGATACAGGAAACACATAAAGCATTTGCAGCAACTTAGAAGCTCCTTTAGAAGGAAATCCAACTTGGAGTTGCTGCAGAGTAATGGTTTGATATTCTGGTGAATATGTAGTTCTCACTTGTGGTAATACACAGACCTCAGGCTCATAGTTTCACCCTCTGGTCTCCATGGAAGGCCAGCACACTTAGGTACTCCTAGAAAAGCAACCCCCTTCCCACTGAAATTGCACAGTCCAAGCCACTGACAGAGGGTCAAAGTAGTTCATCACTGCATCTCATACTTATTCCTTCACTAATCCTCAGCTGCAAGAATTGTATGGATCTTTTCCCATGAGGAACACTGCTCAGGAAAGACCCATCTTTTTTCCCCCTAAAATGGCCAGACCTTTTTTTTTTTTAAAGTTCCATATTTTTTTCTTCCTCTCTCCCCTTCTCCTTTCCTCAAGACAGTGTGCAATCTGATACAGGTTATATATGTACAATCACATTAAACATTTCCACATTAGTTATGTTGTGAAAGAAGAATCAAAACAAAAGGGAAAAACCCAAGAGAAAGAAAAAAATGTGAAAATAGCGTGCTTCAATCTGCATTCAGTCTCCATAGTTCTTTCTCTGGATGTGAATAGCATTTTCCATCATGAGTCTTTTGGAATTGTCTTAGATCATTGCATTGCTGAGAAGAGCCATGTCTATCAAAGTCAGTTATCACACAGTGTTGGTGTTATTGTGTACAATGGTACACATTCTGGTTCTGCTTGCTTCACTTGGCATCAGACCGTACAAGTCTTTGTAGTTTTTCTGAAATCTGCCTGCTTATCATTCCTTATAGCACAATAGTAATCCATTACATTCATATACCACAACTTGTTTAGCCATTCCCCAGTTGTTAGGCATCCCCTCAATTTCCAATTCTTTGCCACTACAAAGAGCTGCTATAAATATTTTTGTACACCTGGGTCCTTTTCCCTTTTTTATGATCTCTTTAGTATACAGACCTAGTAGTGGTGTTGCTGGATCAAAGGGTATGCACAATTTTATAGCTCTTTAGGCATAGTTCCAAATTGTTCTCCAAAATGGTTGGATCAGCTCACAACTCCACCAATAATGCATTAGTGTCCAATTTTCTTACATCTTTTCCAACATCCATCATTTTCCTTTTCTGCCACATTAGCCAATCTGATAGGTGTGAGGTGTTACCTCAAAACTTTTAATTTGCATTTCTCTAATCAATAGTGATTTAGAGCATTTTTTTAATATGACTATAGATAGCCTTAATTTCTTCATCTGAAAGCTTGCTGTTCATATCCTTTGACCATTTTTCAGTTGGGGAATGAAATCCCTGAGCTTTTTAAAAATTAAGATTTTAGCAAAACTATTTTCTCTCCAACCTCTCCCTCCCCATTGAAAAAAGAAAGAAAAACAAACCCTTGTAACAAATATGTATAGTCAAGCAAAACAAATTCCCACAATGGCCATGTCCAAAAAATCTGTGTCTCAGTGTGCCCCCTGAGTCCATCCATTGCCTTTCTGTCAGGAGGAGGGTAGTGTGTCATTGTGAGTCCTCTGGAGTCGTGGTTACTCACACTGATCAGAATTCTTTAAGTCTTTCAAAGTTGTTTATCTTTATGTTATTATTATATTGAATTGTTCTGATCATGCTCACTTCACTCTGAATCAGTTCATTTAAATTTTTTCCAGTTTTCCCTGAAACTATCCCCTTCATTATCTTTTTTTTTACTACACAGTAATATTAAATTACATTTATATACCATAATTTGTTCAGCCATTCTCCAACTGATAGACATCCCCTTAGTTTCCTGTTCTTTATCACCTCAAAAAAAAAAAAGTTGTTGTAAATATTTTTGTACCTATGGGTCCTTTTCCTCTTTGATCTCTCTTGGGGGCAGGGTATAGAACTTGTAGTGGTATTGCTGGGTCAAAGGTTATACATATTTTAGTATCTTTTGGGGGCATAGTTCCATATTGCTTTCCCAAATGAATGGACCTTTTCACCGCTTCACCAAATAGTACACTAATGTACCTGCTTTCCCATACCCACTTCAGCATTTGCTATTTTCCATTT